AAAAAAAAAAAAAAAAAAAAAAAAAAAAAAAAGCTCAAACAGAACCTTGCGAAATCTTTGGCTTCCCATCCTGCCCGACTGCTCCTGTTCTAATATCGCCATTCACGGGCGCTGACACCCCCTGGTAAGGCGGCGGCAGTGTCGCTACCACGGCGGCTCCAGTGGCCGTGTAGTATATTTGTCTTCCGGTGGTGCTGTCGTAGGCCACCTGGGTGTACGGTCGTCCTGTGTCTGGCGCCAGAGTCGCACCTCCACTGGGATAGGCAGCGACCTTTGAAGGTTGTTGTGGCATAGACGGTGATGAAGTGGCTGGATACGGCGGCTGTGGAGGCTGTACGACATTGTAAACCGGTTGCTCGCGGTAAACATCCGAGGACATACGCTGTACGGCGTAGTAGCCTTGATTTGTCGGCGGAGAGGTTACCGGTCGAGCCATCGGATGTTGAGGCGAGTGATAAACCGCACCGGGAGCGTGAATCATGTAGACCGGCGGTTGGTCCGGTCCGCCGGAAACCTGCTTTTCCGGCCAGTATCCGGCTGGGTTCTGGAATCCCGGCGGCGCGTGGAAATTACCGCCGTAGCCTCTCCTCCGATACGCCGTGGCTTCCTCCTGTTCGCTGATATGCAACCTCTGTAATTCCTGCAATTGCCTCTGAATCTCGGCCGGATGAACGGCAGGATCCGATACCGTGATTCGATCTCCCGGAACAGGTCTAGCAACAGATTCAATCGGCGGAGAAACCACCTCCAGCACCGGATCGTGCAATTTCAACGCCACAGGCGGCGGCGGAGGAGGCGCGATTCCACTCTTATCCAAACCAAACAGAAATTCCACCCTATTTGGAACAGATTGCTTAGGCGCCTCGCCTCCATGGTTCGAACCAGAACTAAAAACCTCCACAAATCGCTCCCGATCGGACCTACCTCCATCGGACCCAAAGCTAGGGCTCTGATTAACCGGAAACAGAAATAGCCGCATCCGAGCGGGCTTCCCGGGCGCTCGACAGAGACGATCGTACTCGTGCATCATGTGCTCGAGATCATCATCATTCGAAACCGAAATCAACGCGTCCAGATCCTCGCCGGGGAGCTGATACTTGAAGGTAACGTCAGAGTCACAGAGAGACGAAAGCTTCGCGATCATGGAGGCAAACTTAATAGAGCGGTCAACGGCGAAGATCTTAGTCTCGCCGCCGACATAAGAAAGGAGGTTGTCGTGAGGACGGGGGTGGATCTTTCCGCCGTAGCTGGACAGGAACTTAACCTTGTAGTTCTGGTTCTGGAGCTGGGCAGAGTCGTCCCAGGGAGGGGCGGTTTCGGAGTCGATCTCGGCGGAGCGTGAGGAGGAGTCGCCGGACTCGAGGAAAGTGTTGTAAGCGTAGGTATCCATGGCGGAGGAGGGAGAAATTTTCAGTCAGAGTGGAGAGGTTTTTCTCATTTCTACGGCGATTTGTTGATCGGAATGGAAGAACGCTCTCTCTCCCTATCTCTGTTTTGCTTTCGCTTTCGTTTCCGACAGGTGGTGGGTTGGGGTTGGCCTCCTTTAGCGGTAATATATTATTTCTAGAAACAATAATTCACTTAAAAATTTCAAATTTGGTTAATATTTTACTTCTAAAATAATCTTAAAAATGGTGACTAGGTCGAGTTATATATTTTGTAGCGGAAAATAAATAATCGTGAATTAAAATAAAATAAGAAAGTAAAGTATTGCGATAATCTAACCTACGAGCTAAAGAAGAAAAACAATATAAATACATCTATCTTAACTTCAATCTCATGATCATCACCTCGATATCGTCATTTGTATCGAAGTTGTCTTATCTTTACTTGAAAAAGAAGAGAAGCATGTGATTTGAGTATTTTAAGAAATACTTAGTAAGTAACCTCGCGCTATTGAGGTCATGAAATGCAATCATTTTTTAGACCTATCATTTCATGCTTTTAGCTTAACTTTTAGTTCGAGTAGAATTGGAACTCTGAATACAAACTGTGATCAATTTGCTTGTAATGATTATATACAAACTGACATACAAATAGTAACTCCAAATGACTGGTAAATGAATGAGAATTAATTCACTAAAAAATGTAATCAATTAAATTTATATCATTAAAACTTATATACGATAATAAAGTTGATTATTTTTTTAAATTCTTCACATTAATATTTAGTATATTAAATATAAATGAAAAATATATATTTAATCTAAAGTATTCCGATTCATATTTAATATATTATATTTAAAGTATTTAAATTAATATTTAATATTTAATATAAAATATATATTTATTGAAATTATACCTAAAACATTAAAATAATTAACATAATTAAATAAATAAAATGAAAATATATATTTAAAATTTGAGTAAAATTCTAATTAATTAAATATATATTGAAAAACGTTTAGTTTAAAATAAAGTTCATAATTTTTAAAAGTATTTCTTTAAGTTTTGTAAAATAAAATTTAAAAAAATATACTAATTAAATCGTTTTTTTTTTAAATATGGTATTAAGAGTATTTTAAAAAAATTTAAAATGTATTTTTGAATATATTTCCTTTTTTTAACAAAATACCATTTAGATTTATTTTTATTAATTTAGAAAAAATAATAATAAATAAAAAAGTTTCCTTCTTCGCGCATTCCATGATCCACATATAATCGTTTTCCCTATCTGCAAATAATCTTCATCTCTCTCTCTCATGGGTTTTTCCTTTCTCCCAATTTCCTCCCGAGCTTTACTCTGCAAACCCACACCCTTCGCCTCTCTCCACTCTTCACACCATTCATCGTTCTTCAAAGTTCATTTTGAATCATCTTCTTCTTCGGCGAATCCTAGTTCTTTCGCCATTTATGCAACTTGTTTTGGTGGAGCTTTTGGTCCGAGACCTCGCAGATTTCGTAGGGGCCGTGTTTTAGCTATGTCTTCGCCTAATTCCGTCCAGAAATCGGAGGAGGAGTGGCGAGCCATTCTCTCGCCGGAGCAGTTTCGAATTCTCCGACAGAAAGGGACGGAGTAAGTACCTGTTCTCGCCATTTCTAGAGTGGCTTTTTGTTTTTAGGTTAAGTTTATTCTTCAATTCTGAGTTTGGTTGTTGATTGGAAGTTGACCTTGTATGAATTTTTGAAGACATTCACTTCCTCTGTTTTGATTACATTTATATGATCTTTTCTTGCATTATTTGTCTTCTATTTATCCAATCCATTTCGAATCATAGTCTTAATTTTTCTTACTTTCTATGTCATTCTCCTTCAAATTAACAACAAATGCTCTGGAAACTGAGTGAGTTTGGGATTATCTTTTACGGAAGTGCGTTTCGAGTCGAAGTTTCTTTATCATAGCATGTTGATAGGATATCTGGAAAGAAAGAAATGGAAGAAGTCTTCAAAAATTCTCTCTGATATGATTATCATTTTAACCTCTCATTGCAATTCCCTCACTAAACCCTCTTGTAACTGAATTACTTCCACAACTCCTTACCCATTGAAGCTGCTTTCTGTAATCTCATGTGTTTGAGGCCTTCTTAGCTTGTATACAAGCATCGATGAATGTGAGATCCGATTAGAGAGAGGAACAAAACATTCCTTATGAGGGTGTGGAGTCCTCTACCTAGTAAATGTGTTTTAAAACCTTGAGGGGAAGCTTGAAAGGGAAAGTCCAAAGAGGACAATATCTACTAGCGGTGGTTTGGGCTGTTATAAATGGTATCAGAGCTAGACATCGGGCAGTATGCTAGCGAGGACGTTGGGCCATGAAGGGGGATGGATTGTGAGATCCCACATCAGTTGGAGAAGGGAACGAAACATTCCTTATAAGGCTGTGGAAACCTCTCCCTAGCAGACGCTTTTTAAGACTTTGAGGGGAAGCCCGAAAGGGAAAACCAAAAAAGGACAATATCGGCCGGCGGTGGGTTAGGGCCGTTACAATGAACCTCATATTAGTAGTATTATTAGCATATTAAGAGGACATGTTTATCAATAATATTAGTTAAAGGAGTTGATAAAGGGTTGAATTTAAATTGAGTGGATGAGGGGCAAAGTTGAGGAGAAATTTAGAAGAGTTATTTTGTGAGAGTGTAGGCCAGTCACAGTGTTTGGCAATTGTAAGTTCCCTTTTTGTATTGTGATGTAATATAATTTCAGTGTCATTTTGTGTGAATCTCTATTGCACGATCAGGTTCCTTTCACATATCTAACATTGGGGCATTACAGGTATCCTGGAACTGGCAAATATGACAAATTCTATGGCGAGGGAGTTTATCACTGTGCAGGATGTGAGGCGCCTCTTTATATGTCGAACACAAAATTCTTTTCTGGTTGTGGCTGGCCAGCTTTCTTCGACGGTATTCCTGGAGCCATTAAACGCACCGTGAGTCTTCCACCTCCATCATTCTTTGCATGTAGGATGTTTTAGTAGCTCATCATATTCTGATCCTCTAAACAGATTGTGTTGTGTGATATGTCACTTGTGTTCTAATGCCCCAAATATTTCGGCAACATAATGACATAACTATAATACCTACCCAGTTTTGGTACCACCTGATAGACAAGATTAACACACTTCTATAACCAGAACGACCAAGCAACAACTTTTCGCACCACTTCGAATCAGTTCAACATACCCATACTCCCAAATACATGAACTAGTCAGGCCTCACATCAAGTACTACTTGATATATCACTCTAAGTGCAACACAAAGTCATATAATTCAAACTAGGACTTCACTCCTTAATCCAGAAAAGAGAACAAACTAAACTTTAACAACTTCTAACACCACAAATGCATAACAAAAGGAATGGATCATTCTCAGCAAGTTCTCAACACTGGACTCTACTACTAAAACAGAGACCATCAAGCTAAAGTACATTAACTAAAGGAAATAACGACTAGCTTGGTCTTGCTTCGTCATGCCTCTTCCCCACCAGATTCCTAAGAACTTTAGTTACTTGCAAAACTGGTGGTTGGTCGTAAGTAGCTCGTACTTGGTGAGTCACCAAACATCAAACAATAGAAACGTCATGTTGTTCACATGCATCCAAACATGGTTATCAAAAGTTAATAACGCCCAACATCAAGTAAAAAAACAAACACACTCTGAACATCTCATGCATCCAAACAGGAGTCTCAATGTTTATAAACACACTTTGAACAGCTCATCAAATCTGAAAGGAGTTTAACCGAACCAGTACCCACTAAAACTTGCCAAAAGGCTTGGGTAATTCTGTAATGTGTTTGAATTGACTCAAGCTATATTAAGGGCTACAATGGTTAGCAACACAATTTAAAACACCTAAAAGGAATTTGAAACAGATCTAAATGCACTGAAGCTTATCGAACTGCACCAAACGAGAAGGAATGCTTGCGGTTGGTAGTATCGTCACCGCAGTAGAGTTTAACCACCAAGTTCGAGATGGATGGGTGTGGTTCCTCTACGCCTAGGACACCAGAATATTGAACCATGAACAAAGAAAGACATGAGAGAAAAGCATATTGGCGAGTGATTGTGAGGCCTCAATTCTTGCCTGGAGAGGACACCAAACGCCTCTGCACTTCCATCTCTTGGATAGATAGAAAGGGAGGCAAAGCTTTTTTTGGTTTTTTCACGGTTTGAACTACAAACAAGACACTTCCAAAGGTTAGAAACCATTCCAAAGTACCTAATTGGAGACCAAAGTGCACTAAGACGCATCAGAACTTGCTGATTAGCGCCTTAACGGCCCCGAAAATGTGCTGGACCGTTAAAAGAATCTCTCCCCCAAGCAAAACAACCAATCAAATGTAAACAAAACAAACTCCAAAATAGTTGTACTTGAGACAAAGACATCACTAGTGTTGCATTTTTGCTCTCTTAAGCAAACATTGTAGAGTTGAAATAGTGAGGTTGTTGTGTAATAAACAGCCTGACCCTGATGGGATGAGGACTGAAATCACATGTGCCGCTTGTGGTGGTCATCTGGGTCATGTCTTCAGAGGAGAAGGCTTTCGAACACCCACAAATGAGCGCCATTGTGTCAATAGTATTTCACTCAAATTTTCACCCTCTCCATGATTTCTCTCTGTTTCTGTTTCTCTGAATCTTGTGATTATATTTCTAACCTTAATAAGTTGTCAAATATTACTACTTTACAACTCAAGAACACAGTTGTACATCCTAGATCGAACAAATCATGTATATGTAAATTTCTTCTGTCTCTTCTATTCTCTGTTGAGCAACATACACATTAAGAGTGGTATAATCTTGTTGAATTTTTCAACTTTGTTTCCCCCTCTCGGGTTTGTAAAGCTAACACGCTTCATGTTTTGCTATGACACGTTTTATAGAGCCGGTTTGGATTGACTTTTTAAAATGATTTCAATAAAATTTGTAAGTTTGGTTAGAAAAAGTGCTTTTTTGTTGGATGAAAGTATCACATCGACTCATTTAGGGAATTATCAAAGATTTATAATAAGGAATACTATTTCTATTAGTGTGAGGTCTTTTGGGGAAATCCAAAGCAAAACCAGAAGAGCTTATGTTCTGGACAATATCATACCATCATAGAGAGTCGTGTTCATCTAACACTAATAACACATTTATAAAATAAAATTTATTTATAATTTGATTAATAAAGGTAAAATTGAATCGTAGACCATACCCAAAAAAATAATAAATAAATAAAAAGGAAACACAATGTGAAAGAAATCTTCTTTTATAATTCATTAAATACACATAAACATTTGTTTTTACAATACTTTAGTCGAAACTTAATGTTTTAAACTTAAGAACACGTGGGCCTTGATGATCGAGTATAAGTTGCGTGCTTTAGCATCATCTACTCACGAGGCTAGTTGATTCAGCAAGTGAGTGCTACACACTCTTTAGAGATTTGAACTTTTTAAATTTGCGATAAAAAATATATATTTTAACTAGTTGAATTATCGTAAACAGGATGGAGGATATCCTAGGGGAGCGGAGGTAAACAACACTCAAATTGAGCATGAGAAGCTAAGATACACGTGGATTCCAATGACTCACTAGAATTCACGCAATCCTCAACAACTCACTTGAATTCACACAATCACGAGCGACTAATTTTTTTTATTATGACATCATCAATATATTTCCATTACTTTCACTAAATTTATAATTGGTTTCTTTCGACATTATTATTTTTCTTTTTAAAATTTCAATAATCTTAAAATAATCACTTCAATTTATCTACAACTACAAGTAATATATAAATAAAATAATACGTGTAATTGCACGTGTAAAATGACGTGTATATATAAAATTCATCCACACAAAATTATTTAATTTCCAGACCTTGATTCTGAGCCACAAACTGTTGACACAGCGATTGGTTTGGTGGCTCAGATTTTCCGTCGCTCTATTGCCATTGTCCTCTTCCATGTCCGATTGCACCAATTGCCATGGCCGCAAGAATGGACACGTAAAGCATTGCCAGCCTTTCTGGGATGGGGTGTACGCTTCTTCCAATTTCCTAATTTATTATTTGGGTTCCATTGACTAGATGTTTGTGTTCCAATTCTCTAATTTATTTGGGTTTTGAAGTTCTGGGTTTGTTTTTAAACTAGCAAATGGTTCTCACTGTATTCAAATTGGGTGTATTGGATTCATGAGCTTGGACACTATGTTGGAACCGGTTAGTTGCTGCCAGACCTCGCAGTCCCAGGTAGCTTCTTGACTGTTTGCTTTTGTAATTTCATGTTTTCTAGCTATGAAGTTTCAAACTCTTTGTGAGATCGTTGGGGAGGAGAACGAAGGTAGAGGTGTGCTTTAAAACCTTGAGGGGAAGCTCGAAAGGGAAAGTCCGAAGAGGATAATATTTGCTAGTAGTTAGTGTGGAAACCTCTCCATAGTAGACGTGTTTTAAAACTTTGAGGGGAAGTTTGAAAGGGAAAGCCAAGTCCAAAGAGGATAATATTTGCTAAAACCTAAAGGGGAAGTCCGAAAGGTAAAGCCCAAAGAGGACAATATCTGCCAGTGGTGAGCTTGAGCTGAGCTGAGCTGTTACAATGTGGAAACCTCTCCCTAGCAGATGCGTTTTAAAACTTTGAGGGGAAACCCAAAAAGGAAAGCCCAAAGAGGACAATATCTGCTAGTAGTGAGCTTGAGCTGAGTTGTTACAATGTGGAAACCTCTTCCTAGCAGACGCTTTTTAAAACCTTGAGGGGAAGCCCAAAAGGGAAAGCTCAAAGAGGACAATATTTGCTAGCGGTGGACTTAAGTTGTTACACTCATCTCTTGGATTCAGTATGATCCTTGTTATCTGACTTATGAGTCTTACTTTTTTTTTTTTTTTTTTTTTGGTTCCGGTTAGTTATTCTTCCAAACTGTTGATTCTCTTAAAATTACTATTCTCCAAAGTGATCACAAACTCATTAGCTTGAAACTTGCATTGAATGGTGATGGGGTTGGGTAAATGTGATGCCTCACCGCTAGTAGATATTATCCTCTTTGGGCTTTCTCTTTCAGACTTCCCCTCAAGATTTTTAAAACGCGTTTGCTAGGTAGAGGTTTCCACGCCCTTATAAGGAATGTTTCGTTCTCCTATCCAACCGACATGGGATCTCACAATCCACCCCCTTGGGGGCCCAGTGTCCTCGCTGGCACACCACTCAATATTTGGCTCTGATACCATTTATAACAACCAAGCCCACCACTAGCAGATATTATCCTCTTTAGGTTTTACCTTTCGAGCTTCTCCTCAAGGTTTTTAAAACATGTTTGTTAGAGAGAGGTTTCCACACCCTTATAATCAATGCTTCCTTCCCATCTCCAACCAATGCGGGATCTCACAATCCACCCCCTTTGGGGCCAGCGAACTCGCTGGCACACCGCCCAGTGTCTGGTTCTAATACCATTTGTACGAAAGTCTAAAAAAGACAACATCCATGACCCAAGTTTCTCAATTGTTTCACTTGTTTCTTACCATGCAGATTTACAGTGTAGTTAAACAGAAGAATCCTTTAAGAGCCTACTCTCATACTGTTCATCAACATTGTGGATCTTCCTTCAACTTGCATTATTCACGCTCGAAGAAAGTGACCGTTCCATCAAGCATCGTAAATTGCTGGAGGAATGACTATTCCTTTGTCCCTATACAATCCCACAACAATGCTACTACGTTAAACATCAAATTAGTTGGACGAAATGGATACAATTGGTATAATCATAGGCATAAACCAAGGCAAAGATCAAGAATGCATGCAGCTATTGATGTTGCAGCTGCTGTGGATGTCATCAACGATTTAGGATTGGACACACTGACATTCCTAGCTGTGACTGTCATAGTTGTTCCTCTATTTAGGAGAATTAAAGCTAGCCCTGTAAGAATGATATCCCCTTTCTTCTTCTCCACTTATTGTTCTTATTTTGTTCTTATCTTTAGTTTGATTCAAAATCTGACCATATGTTCATTGTTTTCAGATTCTTGGTTTCTTCTTTGCTGGGATTGTACTTAATCAATTTGGTGTGATTAGAAATCTTACAGATGTTAAAGTTTTGTCCGAATGGGGAATACTTTTCCTGGTAAGCGACATCAACTCTTGAATGTGGAAGAAATGTTGTTGTCATTAGGTGTCGTATTTGTGCGTGTTCGTGAGCACGTGAGTGTGTATAAGTATACATTGTACTAACATTATTCCTTTTAAGCTATTTGAGATGGGGTTGGAGCTTTCATTTGCACGTCTAAAAGCTCTTGCAAGGTTTGCATTTGGCATGGGTTTGACACAGGTAATAGTTCTAGAAAGAACATAGTATGATGCTTGATTGGAATATATCGTGAATTGAATCGGTTAAGTTTTCCCTTGATTCGACCTACTACTGAGTGTCGTTCTACTACTTATACTTTTGTGTAGATAGATTAACAAAAGTATGTTGAAACTTGTTGTCACATTATATAGTCAAAGTGAAGTTAAACTCTGAGAAGACGCATGTAATAGTCCAAGTCCACCGCTAGTAGATATTGTACTCTTTGGGTTTTTTCCTTTCGGGCTTCCCCTCAAGGTTTTAAAACGCGTCTATTAGGGAGAAGTTTTCACACCCTTATAAGAAATGCTCCGTTCTCCTCTCCAACTAATGTGGGATCTCACAATCCACCCTCCTTAGGGTCCCAGTGTCCTCGCTGACACACCGTTTAGTGATTGGCTCTGATACCATTTGTAACAGTCCAAGTCCACTGCTAGCAGATGTTGTACTCTTTGGTCTTTCCCTTTCGGGCTTCCCTTCAAGGTTTTAAAGCGCGTCTGTTAGGGAGAAGTTTCCACACCCTTATAAGGAATGTTCCGTTCCTCTCTCTAACCCGTGTGGGATCTCACAATCCACCCTCCTTGAGAGCCCAACGTCCTCGCTGACTCACCCTTCGGTGACTAGCTCTGATACTATTTATAACAGCCCAAGCCCACCACTAGCAGATATTGTACTCTTTGGGCTTTCCCTTTCGGGCTTTCCTCAAGGTTTTAAAACGCGTCTATTAGGGAGAAGTTTCCACACCCTTATAAAGAATGCTCTATTCCCCTCTCCAACCAATGTAAGATCTCGCAACAAGGAAAACCCACATGGGTACTGGTTGTACTAGGTCTCTCATCTCTAAATGGGATAGTATGCCCTTAACCAGTTGTTTATAGGCAACTTGGAGTAGAACGCAGCCCTAAAAAACTAGCTCGTAATTGAAGAGTACCGAAGTGGTCGTAAGCCACGTCAGTGAGACTCAATGAGGAGTCCTTATTTCTATAATCTAGTTCATATCTTCTCTTTGTAGTATTATTTCTTTTAACTTGTTCACTCACACACTCCCTCCTTTGCTTTTGAAGGTCATGTTATCGACTATCGCTTTCACAGCGTTTGAACTTCCCCCTAATGGAGCTATTGGAACAAGGATTTTGGAGTTCCTTTTTCACGCCAGATCTGACTTGGTAAGCACTCTGTTTCATAGATGGATATTAGAGCAAACTACGGCGTAAAAATAATTTAAAACGATGAAAGGCAAAACAACCTATTCTAACCCAAGACTAGGAATTTAAATATGAGTCTACCTTATGCACGTGCCACAGTCTCTGCTCGTAATGCCGCCGTCCTCCATACATATGCGTCTTGTCTTTACCTGAAAAATGATGTGGCCGTGAGTGGCCCCACTATATGGGGGCCATGCAAATGCAAACACATGTGATCATGCTCTTGGGACCAATCTCTATTCTCTAGGGGTGGCCTTCAGTCTTGGACTAATATGGATGTGTAGTACTTCCCTACACACGACCCACACGTGTATATAGTTTCGCTAATCGAGTTTGTAAGAACTTTAGACAAGAAAACCCCACCTTTTATGCTACGATGACTGTGTTCCACTTACTTGAGATATGATTTGTTGAATTGTAGGTTAACATCAGAAGCGTTGATGAAGCGATTGTGATCGGTGCTGCCCTCTCTCTATCTTCTTCAGCGTTCGTTTTACAGGTAGTCTAGTCAAGTACTCTCATAATAGAACTTTTTTTTACAACTTGATATCAATTCTATGAAAATGCATATCAATCCATTGACGACCTGAAGTCGGTGCTACTAAAAACGGAGTATTAAGTAAAAACTCTTGAAGATTGCAAGCCTAAATCCTTCTGTACTCGATCTTCGCATGACGGATAGTCCTGTGGATAATTTTAAGAGACGAAACAGTAACGTTATCGCATTACTAAGACTTGAGGACACGAGAAATACGGTGAAAAGAATGTAATTTGAAGAACAATGTCGAAGTTTATTGCATTTTACAATGTGAGAATATTACTAATGGTAAGGCATTTAGGATAGTTAACCTTACCTATCATAATGAATAGCTTCTTGCAGAGAAAGGAGAGCTTGCAACAAGATTTGGGTCAGCAACTCTAGGGATACTTCTTCTTCAGGTTTTTTCTCTCAACAGATACTCGGGACTAGTTTCGTACCGCTTCGATCTTAGTATATTATATGCTTTCTTTCGATGTATTTTGGTCCTTTGTAACTTTTCTGCATTGCATACTGTTTGATGCAGGATATTGCTGTTGTCCCTCTCTTGGTCATACTTCCTGTTCTTGAGAGCCAGGTATTTGAAAGGATTCTAACACTCTTTTGAGATAGAAATCGATATCAAATTAGAGGGATATGCTGCGAAATATATATTCTTTCTGCTGCTCGTCTAGTATGTTACCTGTGATCGCTTTTGTACGGTTAACTCTCGACCTCGACTGTGATGTTCCACATCGGTTGGGGAGGAGAATGAAACACCCTTTATAAGGGTGTGGAAACCTTTCCCTAGCACCCCGACTATGATATCCCATATCGGTTGGGGAGGAGAATGAAACACCCTTTGTATGGGTGTGGAAACCTTTCCCTAGCAGACACGTTTTAAAGCCTTGAGGGGAAGCCCGAAAGGGAAAGCCCAAAGAGGGTAATATCTGCTAGCGGTGGGCTTGGGCCATTACAAATGGTATCAGAGACAGACATCGGGCGATGGGCTAGCAAGGAGGCTGTTCCCTGAAGGGGGTAGACACGAGGCGGTGTACCAGTAAAGACGTTGGGCCCCGAAGGGGGGTGGATTTGGTGGGGGTCCCACATCGATTGGAGAAAGGAACAAGTGCTAGCGAGGACGTTGGTCCTTGAAGGGGGGTGGATTGTGATATCCCACGTCAGTTGGGGAGGAGAACGAAACACTTTTTATAAGGGTGTGAAAACCTTTCTCTAGCATACGTGTTTTAAAGCTTTGAGGGGAAGCCCGAAAGGGAAAGCCCAAAGAGGACAATATCTGCTAGTAGTGGGCTTGGACCGTTACACCGATGCATATCATCTTGACATCTATAACTTAGCACCAAGTTTGTGAAATAGTTTAACCTTGTGTATTGCTTCACTCGTAGAATTTGGGAACGGAAAGTATCTGGCCAATGCTTGCACAAGAAAGTCTGAAGGCTTTAGGTGGACTCGGTCTGCTGTCCCTTGGAGGAAAGTTGATTCTTAGGCGAGTTTTCGAGGTTCGCATCTTGCTTATAGTATTAGTATGGATTGCGCAAGTTAGTTTTACGATCTTAATAAAGCGTGTTCGAAATTCAGGTCGTTGCGGAAGCAAGAAGCTCAGAGGCTTTTGTGGCTCTTTGCCTGCTGACAGTTGCTGGCACATCACTAATCACTCAGAAACTGGGCTTTAGTGACACGGTTCGTTTCTTTTTCATGCTCGGGAACAATTAACGTGTAAATTTTTCATATGTATAATATTTTAATTAGAATTAACGTATAATACAGCTGGGAGCATTTTTGGCTGGAGCAATATTAGCAGAAACTAATTTCCGGACACAGATTGAAGCTGATATTAGGCCATTTAGGGGCTTGCTCCTCGGGTTATTCTTTGTTACGACCGGGACCTCCATTGATACGCAGGTGCAATATCTTCCGTTTTTCGTGTGCTGGTTTAATCTATAAGTTTGAATTGTATGTATTTCCACTAGAAGAATATAGGTTTAACCACAAGCAATCTAGTCAGGTACAATGTAACATATGGAAGTCGAAATACGTTAATTCTTTATAAGGCGTCAAAGGCTGTTACACATCAAGATTTTTCGAGTTTTTTTAGTTAATGACTGCTGGAAGAGTGCAGTCCTATTGGCTTAAACGGGTCTCGTTTAATAATCGACTTCATTTCTATGCAGCTCCTGTTTCGAGAATGGCCGAATGTCCTTGCCCTTTTGGCAGGTTTAATAGCCATCAAGACGCTTATAATAACAGCAATAGGTCCCCGTGTCGGTCTCACAACTCAAGAAAGTGTACGAATAGGATTTCTTCTATCGCAAGGAGGCGAGTTCGGGTTTGTAGTGTTTTCTCTGGCAAACAGGCAAGTCTTAATCCCTATTCTCCATTCATTAATCCTTGCTCCATGTTTGCTTATCATTTACACTTTCATGGAAGCAGGCTTGGAGTGTTACCACTTGAGTTAAACAAGCTACTCATCATTATTGTTGTCTTGTCAATGGCTCTAACCCCGTTGCTAAACGAAGCTGGACGGAAGGCGTCTGAATACATCAGTGAAAAGTACAAGACAGACGATGTATGTTTAAGGCTTCGTTTCGATACTCGGTGTTTGAATTACATTGATCTGGACCTGAATTAAGTTAATCTGTTTTGAAATGTGCGATTGTGACAGAAAGCTGCAGACACGGTGAATTTCGACGCTACCGAACCTGTTATCATCGTTGGATTCGGTCAAATGGGTCAGGTTTGTATCCATAGATATCTATAGATATTTAGCAGGAGTTCAACCTTTTGAATCTTGTCTTTTCTAAGTAGGTCCTGGCAAATTTCTTATCTACACCTTTGGTATCTGGAGCTGATGGCAGCTCTCCTGGATGGCCATATGTAGCGTTTGATATCGATCTTTCCGTAGTGAAGGTCGGTTCAGCGAGCGTATTTTTTGTTCTCCCCTTATCTGGAATGGCATAGTTTTTGCATGGTTATTCGAATTCTTACGATTCTATGATTTTTTTCCGACGATCAGAGGTCAAGAAAACTTGGTTTTCCCGTTCTCTACGGAGACGGATCACGACCAGCAGTTCTGCAATCTGCTGGAATCTCTTCTCCAAAAGCTGTCATGGTTATGATCACGGAGAAGAAGGCAACAATCGAGGCCGTTCAAAAGCTCCGTCTCGCCTTCCCTGCGGTAAATTTTCTCTCCATTGATTAAAAACTATGCTGAAAGCATCACATGTCCTGTTTTGAATAGAGAAAACCAAAAGGAAACTGCAGTCCTTCAAGGTTATATTTATCTTTTTAAGTGTGTTCTCGAGCTATTCAGTCCGATTTGAATACAACAAAACGTTCATGATACAGATCCCGATTTACGCCCGAGCTAAAGACGTGATGCATCTATTAGATTTAAAGAATGCCGGTGCAACGGATGCTATTCTCGAAGATGCTGAGGTATCAGTTTTGAGTGATCAAATGATGCATAGTTATTGATATATGATGCATAGTTATTGATATATGATGCATTCTTGTAGACAATCCTAATTCTTCAATTTGTTTGTGCAGACTAGTTTACAACTTGGGTCAAAGCTTTTGAAAGGGCTCGGCGTCATGTCCGACCAAGTGTCGTTCCTTAGTCAGATGGTTCGAAACTCTATGGAAGTACGAGCACAAGATGCACTCGACAAATCCAACGAGCAAGAGTTAGAGATTATGAAACCACTGCAGGTTCGTATATTTAAACGAAATGAACGTATGAATTTTTGTTGATTAGATGTAGGATGGAGAGAAAGGAAAGGAAAATAAGACATGTTGTAGGTGCCAATGGATTCTTATACAAGTTACATAGATAATACGTATAGATCCTAGATAGTAGTCTTAGCCCACCGCTAGTATATATTGTCTGCTTTGGCCCGTTATGTATCGCTGTTAGCCTCACGGTTTTAAAATTCGTCTACTAGGGAGAGGTTTCCACATCATTGTAAGGAATGTTTTGTTCTCCTCTCCAATCGATGTAAGATCTCACAATCCACCCCCTTTCAGGGCCCAGCATTCTCACTGGCACACCGCCTGGTGTCTGGCTCTGATACCATTTGTAGCAGCTCAAGCCCACCACTGGCAAATATTGTCCATTTTGGCCCGTTACATATCAGCCTCACGGATTTAGAATACGTCTACTAGGGAGAGGTTTCCACACCCTTATAAGGAATGTACGTATCGCCGTCAACTTCACAGTTTTAAAACGCGTCTACTAGGGAGAGGTTTCCACACCCTTATAAGAAATGTTTCATTTCCCTCTCCAACCGATGTGGGATCTCATAATCCACCTCTTTTCGGGGCTTAACGTCCTCGCTGGCACACCGCCTGGTGTCTGGCTTTGATACCATTTGTAGCATCCCAAGTCCACCACTAACAAATATTCTCCGTTTTGGCCCGTTACATATCGTCATTAGCCTCACGATTTTAAAACACGTCTACTAGGGAGAGGTTTCCACACTCTTATAAGGAATGTACGTATTGTCGTCAACCTCACGGTTTTAAAACGCGCCTACTAGGGAGAGGTTTCCACACCCTTATAAGTAATGATTCATTCCCCTCTCCAAACGATGTAGGATCTCACAATCCACCTCCCTCGGGGCCCAGCGTCTTCGCTGACACACAGAGTCTTAACCTTCATCGTAGCATGAAGCCACAGAGTCTTAGCATTCATCCACTCTCTCCCACTTTTCATTCCTTCTTCTCAATGTTCCTAGTGCTAGGTGTCACAATCGCATTCTTGCAGCAACGGTTGTGCAACGGTTGTGCAACACTTGTTCCAACCCAGCAAACTAGTTAGCCGTATGAAATTCGCACTTCACAGACAATATCGACATATACTCAAGCCTTGAGTCACGTTTGAGAGAAATGTTTTATACTTTGATATAGACATGTACGACTAACATTGTCTGTAATCACCCCAAAAAAATGACACCATTGTTACTGGTTTGATTGTTTAGATACGTGTGAAGGACTCGATCATGACCCCGGAGAGCGAACTGTCGAGGCTGAACGGCAAAGAAATGGATGAAAGGAAGCAAGAAGATTTAGATGGAAAAGGAGTCCTGTACTGTGAACTTGATACAGAGGAAAACAGTTCAGATCCTGATAATATGGTACAGCCTCCAACCCCTTACATCACAGCCACTGATGCCTTGGAAAACTGAAACATTCTTCAGTGTAGTTTTCACATGATTTTATCATACATTTTTTTAGTGTTCATAATTTAAATAAAGTTGATTCAATCTTCAATGCTGTTAATATATGTTAGGGTATATCAAAATCTAATATATTCATTGCATTTTTCGATTATTCTTCTTCAAGGGAATAGATATAAACCTGTTGAGGATTATTGGGAGTGAGTCTCACGTTAGTTAATTTAATGGAAGATCATGGGTTTATAAGTGAGGAATACTATCTCCATTGGTATGAGTCCTTTTGGGGAAGCCCAAAGCAAAGCCATGAGAGCTCATGCTCAAAGTGGACAATATCATACCATTGTGGAGAGTCGTGATTTCTAACATGCTATCAGAGTCATGCCCTAAACTTAATCATGTCAATAGAATCCTCAAATATCGAACAAATAATTGTGAGTCTCGAAGGTGTAGTCAAGAGTGAATAAAGTATCGAACAAATGGTGTACTTTGTTCGAGGGCTCCAGAGAAAGGAGTCGAGCCTCGAAAGTGTAGTCAAGAGTGAATAAAGTATCGAACAAATGGTGTACTTTGTTCGAGGGCTCCAGAGAAAGGAGTCGAGCCTCGAAAGTGTAGTCAAGAGTGACTAAAGTATCGAACAAATGGTGTACTTTGTTCGAGGGCTCCAGAGAAAGGAGTCGAGCCTCGATTAAGGGAGGCTATTCGAGAGCTCCATAAGCCTCAGGGGAGGTTTATAGTGTACTTTGTTTGAGGGGAGGATTGTTGAGGATGATTGGGAGTGAGTCCCACGTTGGTTAATTTAGTGGAAGATCATGGGTAATACTATTTATGAGGTCTTTTGGGGAAGCCTGAGAGCTTATGCTCAAAGTGGACAATATCATATCATTGTGGAGAGTCGTGATTTCTAACAAAACCTAGGTAAACCGAGACATGAGATTGAAAAGTCGATACGAATCTTTAATTACGTTAATAAATATTGTTTATAAAGACATGTCATTGTAATGTTATTTATGTGACCAATATAAAAAAGTTTATATTTTTTAGGTATAATAATAAATATGGAGGTAGAGAATCACACCCAATTCAGATATGGCCTGCTCCGTGAGTAGTAGAGATCGTGGTAGGGAAGACTTCCTGTCTAATTACAATATCAAGTATGCAATTTGTCACGACACAATCATTATAATTTAGATATGGTCTCAGTTCATTCATGTACCCCTTCTTTTACTCCGGTGTCACATGCCCATCAGTTTCCGTCTTCGTTTGTCCCAAAACCACGTCTTACTGGGAGATGTACGAGTATGATACCATTATAACAATCCAATAACTCTAATATGAATATGTCTCAGTTCATTCATGTACTTCTCGTTTGTTCGGGTATCACACAATTTAAATTTACATTTAAGGATAATGTTAATAAAGTTGAACGTTACTTTATTTCCTTTTCCTTTTTCTCTTTTTTATCTCTAAACAAAAGAAAAAGTGAGAAATCAACTTTAACCTAAAGATTGATTGCTACAATCAAGCACAATCTTCCTAAGAATCACAAAACTTTCTCATCCAAATTCTCTTCTCTCTTAATAGAGTGAATAATAGGCGAGTGATTAAGAATGATAAAGTTCTTTTTAGTTTTCATAGTGATAATGTGCCTTTTAGAAAGAAAAAAAAAAAAAAAAGTAGTTTGCCTACTCATGATCCATTCATGGAAATAAAAAATTTTAGTTCGTAAAAGTTTGTCTACATCGGTTGGTGAGGAGAACGAAACATCAAAGGTATGAAAATCTTTATTTGTTAGATGCGTTTTAAAGTCTTGAGGGGAAACCCGAAACGGAAAGCTCAAAGAGGATAATATCTGCTAGCGGTGGGCTTCGGCCGTTACAAATGGTATTAGAGCCAGACATCAGGTGATGTGTCAGCGAGAAGATTGTTCCCTGAAGGAGGTAGACACGAGGCAGTGTGTCAATAAGGACGCTAGACCCAAAATGGGTGAATTTGGTGAGGTCCCACGTTGATTGGAAAAAGAAACATCTGTCATCGAAGAGGTTGGGCCTTGAAAAAGGGTGGATTGTGATATCTGATAGACATGTGTTGGGGAGGAGAACAAAAATTATCAAATAATAATATTAAAAAAAAAAAACAAATATGCAAAAAGAGAGAATGTATCTACCAAAAAAAACCGGATCACATCGGCAAAATAATGAATTTATAAAAATAATAAATAAATGAATATGATGATGAATTAAAATGTCTATAAATACTATATCTACACAGAGATTGGAAACACGTACCTAGTAATATTCAGGATCATAATTCTGAATTTTGTTATATGTTTAATGGAACGTTCAAATTTTGAAGTTCACTCTCGATCTCTTTCGCAAAGAATATATTATCGTTTGAATACTACACATGTCATTCCATTATTTGAGTTGGTAAACTAAAATTAAAATTAAAGAAAAATATATTTGTTAAAAGAAAAAAATAAACTACGAAATTAAAGATTTTTTTTTTTTGTTATCAATTAAAATAAAAATGTCTCTACCTAGTTATAATTGGAATCTTTTTAGTTCAGCATTTAATTCTTCTAATTCCTTCCGAGTTTGCAACATTATATCATCATTTGAAAATTGTTTGTATGATTCATTATTTGTGCAAGTGGACGGTCTAAAAAAAACTATATTACTATTTAAAACGGAAAAAATATATATATATTTTTTTATTTTTCAATCAAAATAAAAAGGGTCATCTGACTAATCATTTTCAAGTTCTGCATCTCATTCTCGAACCTTATATCATCATCCGAATGTTGATGGTATGATTCCATTATTTGGCTAGGTGGGCTGTCCAAAATTAAAAAATATATATATATTTATAAATATTGTTAAAAGAAAAAAAAAATTACACCTACCAAATAATATTATTCTTTAAGATAGAAAATATATATATATTTTTTTTATTATCGATCAAAATAAAAACTTATCGCCTACCATTCATGATCATGACTTAAATTCAATTCCTTCTTGAACTCACTTGCAAACATCGTATCATGATTTGTCTGATGTGATTCAAATATTTGTGCAGGTGGACGGTGCAAAATTAAAAAAAAAAAAATTCATACAAACAAAATTAAATTATATTTTTTAAAGTAAATTATTAAATAAAATATACTAACATTCATGCTTGAGTGATCAAATTAGATTTTGATCATATATGTTTTGTTTGGGTTGTTGTAGTTGTTGGGCAATTTGAAGGATTTTTGTATTCTTGTCGAGACTGCATTTTTTATTCGAATGACGAGAGTACGTACAAATCATACACGAACACTTTTGGTATGAAAATAGAATCAATTGTGTACTCCCGCATGATCCGAGAACAATCATTGTCATTAGCTTTGTCTTTAGGAGTCTCGTAATGAAACTGTTTGATGGTACCAATTAGAACATTATTAACCGAAGAAAATACTCGTTGGCATTTGTTTTCACCGGTACGAGTGGTACCATTAGAGCCAACTTTTCTAATAGCACTATATTTTTTAATATTGAAGTTGTGAATAAGTAAATTTCTTTGTCATCGATCCCTCCATATTGTTGCCATATTGGAGAAGGCTCTTGTGTGTAAAGATCGATCACAGTAAGCACAATTAGTGGAACGGTTTCTCCAACAATCTTGTGGAAAAGATAATAGCTCAATAATTCTTCGTCAGTAGAAGCGAGGACGCAGCCGAACGGGAGTGGCTTGAATTTAATTCTTTTTCAAACTAACTTGCAAACATCGTATCATCATTTGAAAATTGATGATGTGATTCCAATATTTATGCATTGGGACGGCTCAAAATTAAAAAAAAAAAAAAACGTGGTTAAAAAAATAAATAAATTCATACCAATAAAATTAAATTATTTTTTTAAAGCCAATTATAAAATAAAAATATATGTACGGGATGGATAAGAGATGATACTTAACATTCATGTTCGGAGTGATTTGTTGTAGTTCGAAATTTTGATCATATATATATGTATGTATGATTGTTATAGTGATTGTTGTTGTTAGGCAGTTTGAGAGCTTACGGAACGAGAGCTTACGTTTAACTATTTAGGGAGTACTTTGGCCGAGGCCAACCAAGTAAGTGGCCTTACTATAGGATAGGCTAAAAATTGTACGAGTTATGATGATGTATGAACTATGTCGTACGATGCGGTATATGAGTTATGATGATGTGTAGGTTACGATACTTGATGATGTATGCAGTATATATATATTTTGATGAATGACGTACTTGATATGTTTGATGCATTTTGTGGCAATATAATGAGTATGATGATTGCATGACGTTTACCTTAATATGATGATGTTTTCCATATTGAGCATGTTATATGATGATGAGTGCCATATTGCATCATGTCGTTAGATCGACATAGGACACAACCCTAAGAGCGTGAAAATGATATTAATATAAATATCCACAAGTATGTGTTACCTATAGTAACAAAGAGATGAGACTAGAGGGTTGTGTCAAAAGGGACATTATGATGGATTTAGAGGGACCTCATGCATATTGTATGTCGTAAGCATAGGGCTACTTCCCCTAGAGATGATGAGTGCGAACGTGCACCATATGATGAGCGCGAATGCGCACAGGTGTGAATGCACACAGATGATGGTATTCATGAGGCGCATGACACTATGGGGTTCCGCTGACCTCTAGACGTCGTTACAGATTAGCTTGACCAGAGGGTCCTGGGGGTGTGCGAGTGCCGTGGGGATTCACACTCGCACGTGTGAGTCGTGTGTAGGGAAGTACTACACATCAAATTTTTCCGAGACTGGAGGCCACCCCTAAGATGATTAGAGATAGGTCCCTAATTCATGATTGCATGTGTTTGCATTAGCCTGGCCCCTATAGTGGGGTCACTTACTGAGTATTTCTTCGGCCGTGTGCCATATTGTTTTTCAGGTAAAGGCAAGGCTCCCATGTACGGTTGACGGTGACATCGTGATCAGAGACTGTGGCGCGTGCATAGGATAGTTGCATATTTAAAATTCCTAGTCTTGGTTAGGATAGGGGGTTTGCATTTCATTCATTTAAATTATTTAATTTGTAACTGTTTTTATCTTTTTTGAACTCC